CCGCCACGTGTGACCCAAGCTCCCCCGCCCCCCAGCCATGGAGAGTCCCCAGGGAACCCTCGTCACGAGGCCGCTGCCTGCGGGGTACTGGCCCCAGAGCGGGCATCGGGTGTGCGGACAGGGGAGCGCCACTGGCCGTAGAACAACGGGCTGCTGAGACACGGAATGTTCTGAAGGTCCGAGGGCTGTCTGTGGAAAAGAAGCATTTCCTTCGCTACTGTTGAAAATCTTTATGAAACACACACAATTACAGCAATAAAAACAGCTCAGTGGGTACAGTGGGTACTTGTCACATGCCGGCCACACGCTCTGTGCCACGTGCTTTGGATGCAGCATTTTACGTAGTCTTCGTTTGTTCTTGTCCTTTTCCGCGTACGGGGGCTGGGGTCGGGGATGCTCAGCAGGCCGCCGATGTCGCGGACGGCGGGCCCTGCGAAGCCCACGCCCCACGCGGTCCTCGCTGACGGGCCGTTCCGGAACCGCGTGGAAACTCCTTGCGTTCCTTCGGGCTGTGTTCTGTTCTACGCGTGTTCTGTTTCGCGTGTTGTAGGAAAGCGGGAGCTGGGGTTTGAGTCCTCTGCGTTTGGACCATTCCGCCAGCGTCGTTTGTTTGTGTAAAGTCCACCCTCCCTACCGCTGGCGGTTCTCGGCTCTTATCACGCTCCGTCCTCAGCTTCACTGGAGTCTGGCTTCTCCTTCTCTGCTCCTGACCCAGCTCTGCTCCTCACCGGCTTCTTCCTGCCTTACTGAGGCCACGGGGGTTGGCGGGGGGGGGGGGGGGGCGCGTTCTGTGTGAAGACTTGTGAGTCGTCCCCACTTACGGAGGCTCAGCCCCGCCTCTGCATCCCCTTCCCACCGCACCCAGAGCAGGACGTGAGGATGCTCTCGCTGGTGGGGACATCATCTCTCTGCCATCCCGCTGGGCACTGAGCACACCCAGCTGGGTCACCCGGGGCGGGGAGGGCCCAGGAATGGGGCCCAGGCCAGCCTGCACGTGCTCCAGGTCAGGCCCCGGGCCCTCGCCCTCCGACACCTGTTCCCGAGGAGCAGAGGACCTCTGTCCTGCTTACGGAGCCACCCACTGCACCCCGGGAGCGGCGTCCTCTCTGTCCTCTCCAGCCTGGGCTGGTCTCGGCGCCCCCTGAGCCGCGGGAACTAAAAACGTCTCGCCACCCTAGGGTCAAACTCTGCCAGCAGCCGGGACTCCCTCACCAAATACCGAACACTGTCAAGTGTCCTTCCTCTCCCTGGCCTCGCCCCTGCACAATGCTTGGGGTATGACCCGAACCCAGCTAGGGGGTCCTTCTGGCCTCCGCCCCCATCCCGGGCCGTGGTCTGCTCCCCGTGGTACACACACTAGATGGCATTGACACTGCTTTCCCGATTCACACACTCCCGTGCGGCTCCTTTTTCTTTAAAACCTCAAGTCCTCGACCTGAGTTCCAGACCTCCTCACACGGGTAGGAGGTTCGCACCGGAGGCCCTGCGGCTGCTGCCTCCCCCTGCGGGCGCTTTCCTCCCCGATCGAGCCTGGACGCTGCCCATCGGGCTCTGCAAGGGGGCACCACGGACCGGGGCTCTGCGCTCACGGGTCTGCGTTCTCGGTCTGCACCGTCTTCTCCCCGTCCTCGGACCCGGTGTCTGCAGGTGCACGCGGGGCCCTGGCTTTTGTACCGTCTCCTCTCCACTTTGTACATCTTCTCCCTCGCACGTACCGTCTTCTTCCCCGTCTGTACTGTCTTCTCCGGGGCTGCAGCCCTGCAGCCGATTCCCATCAGGCAGGAGCCCAGCGTGAGGGGAATAAACGTCGGGTCTGGGGCGCCATCTTGGGTGGAGTCCCTTTGGTGCCACATGTCAAGGAGAAGATCTTGGCGAGGTCTGGGCGGAGCTGGAACCCACCGGATGTGCTTGTTTTCATTTTCTTTGCAGTTGCTCAGTTTTCCCCCGAAGCTCATGGGCACCGGGCGCTGGTGAGGGGACACCCGGGGGCTCCGGGTCAGTGCCGCTGTTTGCTCAGGCCCCTGGAGCCCCACCGTCTCCTCACGACCCCTGAGGGCTCCCTGGGGCTTCGTGTGTGCTGGGAACCGCCCCAGAGCTGCTTCTGGGAAGAGCTCGCGAAGGCAGAAATTGGATTTGGGGGTGCTCTCCTGTCTGGAACAGGATCGTGGACGGCTCTGTCTGTAAAACACACAAAAAAAGTCCGTGTGGGTTCAGGAGGAAGGTCCTGCTGATAGTCTGGGCCAGTCTGACGTATCTGGGAGCCTTCTGCAGGTTTCTGAGAAACGCTAACAAAACTGAACGAGTTCTTCTTGGTTTCCAAGTACGTCTGAGGCCCCCGAACCGAATTATCGAACCTGGTCTTCTGATGGTTCCACACCTTCAGGAGTGCAGTTACGTGGGAACCCGAGGTCTCGCTGACTGGCAAAGTGGCACCAAAACGTTTCCGCTTCTGTGCTGCGGTTGGCTCCTTAGACGCCACGGTGATGAAGGCAGCTCTTCATCAGACTCACGGTGGAAATCGTCATTCCCTACGATCACCTCCACTCCGCGCACTCTCCTGCCTTCCCTGGCCTCGTGCGGGCTCTCTGCTGGAAGGCGTGAAGGCCGGAGGGGCAGAGGCGAACGGCTGTCTATGGCAGCGTGACCTGTGAGGTGGGGGGTGGGAGCGCGTCCGACCGGGACGGGCCCTCGCGTGCGTGAACGGGGACGGGGCCGGGCTCCAGGGAGCCCACAGCAGTCACACTTAGAGCTACCCGGGAGCCGTGCTGAGTTTGCTTCTGGTTCGTTTGGACGGCGTCGGAGAGAACGATGATGCTGACAGTCGCCGGGAGCTTACTCTTCTAAGCACTCGGGTGTGTCAGCCCATTCAGTGGCCCCTTCGTGGATGAGAGGACGGAAGCAGATGGTGGCTCGTTCCAGGTTACACGGACAAGGAGGACCTGGCATCCGACGGCCAGCATCCTGTCTCCAGGGCCTGCTGCTTCTCAGTGAGGCGTGGCTGTTGGGGTGGGGTACCGAAGCCCCCTGCAGAGGCCCTCCACCCAGTCCCTCGGGACACGGGCTGCTCACTTCCCAGCATCCAGGCTTTGTGCGAACGCTCGCTCTGGGACGGAAGGGGACGGGGAGGCGCGGCGGGCGTGGAGGGCCGTGGGAGGCCTCGCCGACTTCTGGGAGGGGCTTCTGGATGCGAGAGTGAAGGTGGCCGGGGGCTGAGGGCATCGCAGCAGCCGGGCCGGCAGAGCAGAGTGGGCACGGGGGCAGGGTGGCCAACTGGCGTGAGACTTGCCCGGCCACCTTCGTGTCCTGGGAGAAGGTCAGGCGTGGCCCCGCCTGAAAGTCCTCGTCGCGTCTGCTCTTTGCCGTGCGGCTCCTCTCCTCTGCGCCTTGCCTCAACAGCCAGCCCTGGGCCAGAGGTCTGTCCTGGGGCCACCGGACGCTGCTGTCACTGCCTGTGAGCCGATGGTCCCTGACGACGAAGGCCCGCTGTCCTGCAGACACGGCCGCGTGGAAACCCGCGTGGAAACCCGCGTGGAAACCCTGTGTCTCGTGAGAACCTCGGCGAGCCTCCCCTGAGCGTCCTCCTGGCCGGGCCAGCTCGAGCCACCCTGTGAGAGACCGTCCCCAGGGGCCCCGTGCTTGGCCCCTTCCTGCCTGTCACACAGATCTCCCCTGGGAGCACCTCATCAACCGTCGCCTGCACACGGACCTCTTCGTCCAGGATGGCTTCTCCACAGCCGGCCTGGGAGCATCTGGGCACTCAGGAGCTGTCGGGAAGTAGCGGGTGGTTGGATGAAGGGATCAACAAGTGAACCAGCTGTTTCTGGCTGTGGAAAGAGCCAGCCGTGGGGTGGTGGACAGTCCCACCACGTGGCTACGGTGCGGCCTTCTGAACGTGGCTGGAGAGGTGAGCACACAGGACGTGCCCTGCGTGGAGGTTTTCTCAAGTACCAGGACGAGGAGGGGCTTCTGGACGCGGTCAGGATTGGGAAGCACCGTGTCCTACGTTCCTCTTCAGATAGCCCCAAATGTCGAGACTTTGCATATAAAACTCGGATCGGGATTGCATTAAATATGCACGCTTTCAAAATTCAATTTCTCTGAACCTGTTTGGTCACAGAACCCTTTCTTCACTTAACACTCATTGATGGTCATCGTAAGTGACATTCCGTGTGACACGCCCAGCAAGAGCTTGTTTACAGACAGACTCACGGGGGAGGGACGTCGGGTTTGAGGGCTGGTGTGGGGTCGACTCACGAGGGGCCACGCCAGGGCCACTGCGGGGACGTTCAGAGCATTCGCTGTAGGTAAAGTCATTTTTAGCAAGAGAATGATGACAAATTTATTTTCCATTAAACAACTGAACTGTGTAATTGTTACAGATTATAATTTTTTTTCAACAGGACGGGGCATGGCTGGAAATTAAGCAGATTCTCTGAACAACCGAACCTAATGAATCCTGCAAAGGCTGAGCTGTAAGTAGGAGCGTCTGGAACCGTAGCAGATTGCGTGTCAGCGAACGAACGGTGTCGGGGTATTAATTATGCGATCGTGGGCGGAATGTGGGGCAGAGAAGTGACCGGGCCTCTGCGGCAACACGACGTCCCTCGGGAGCTCTTTGCATGGCCCCCTGCGGGCTGTGGCAGAGACGGGTGAGTGAATGTCCCGGGGCCCAGAGTCCTGCTGCTGGACCAGGCCTGGCCCCCAAGCCAGTGCCCTCCTGCGGGGGCGCCTTCTCCCGGTGCTAAGTGGGGAGAAAGTGCAGGCGTGGGCCACTGCGTCCGAGGGCCGCTGCGACCGACCGCCGCGTCCCTGGCTCAGCGAGCCCCCACGTGCGAGCGCCCGGCCCCAGGCCCCCAGCAGCCCTGTGGGAAGACGCGGTGGTGAGTGACACAGGCCCCCACCCTGGAGAGTTCGCGGTCCGGCGGGGAGGCAGGTGTGCGAGGAACAGTAACCACGGGACGGCTCTGCGAGTGCCTGGCCGCGGCGTGGGGAGGCACCCAGTCCTTGGCTCCAAGTGGAGGAAGGTTGTGCCAACCCCGATTTGGGCGATGCCCGTTTGGCTCTTTTTCGCTCCTGACCGAGTCCCGCGACTTTTTGCCCCACGCTCACCATTCTCCCTCCGGGGTGCAGGACACTAAAGACACAGGAACGAGTGTGAAATGTGACGTCGCGTCTCTCCCAAGAGACCCTGCGGTCCTCAAAGGAGGGTCACACGCCTCCCAGTAAAAAGGTGAGTTAGGGAAATTCTGAATTGGAGACGGGCACCTGGCCTCCTGGGGGGGGGGGGGTGGAGGGGGATTCAGGGAGAGCTTCCTGGAGGTGGTGGCCAGGCAGGGGGTGAGGTCTAGGAACAGCTGGCCGGGTGAGGGGCAGAGGCTGGGAGACAGGACTGTCCCACACTGTGGATGCACATGCCGGCAGCAGTGACCGTGGGACACAGAGAATGACCATCAGGGTGGCCGTGCGGCGAGAAGGTGCTCCAGGGGGGAGGGCAGGGTCAGCCCTGCCCGTGGAGGGCTTGGTGGACCGTGATGAGAAGTGTCCATTTTGCTCTGTAGGCAAAGGGTGTGTGTTAGAGAAGAAATCTGGCTTTGCCATTTGAGGATGTGCTAAGCAGGCAAGTTCAGACGTGGGCATTCCTCGGGTGGACAGAGTGGTCCAGGGGCGAGGACGCAGCGGTGGGGCCGAGAGGCCGGCAGGACAGTGAGCTGGTGTCTCTGTGGCACCATCAGACCGACCGCGGGACCTGGCCCCTGAGACGCATTCCCCCCCCCCCCCCCGCCCCGTTCCTCATCTGTCTGCGTGACCACAAGTCCGTGCACACATTCGTGTGGCCCATGGGGCTTTGTCGGCCCTCTTCGAAGTCACCCCGTAGGGACAGGCGGGACCCGACCGACCGTGGGTCTGCGCAGCTGCCACGCCCACAGTCTTCACCCTGCGTCCCGCTGTCCCCTCCCATGTCATAACATAGCCTGGTGTCTGCCTGTCACACAGCTCCCCCAGGACCCTTCAACACTCATTACATGCGGGTGACAAGGCGTGTGAGCCCACGAATGAGTGAGTCGATGGATTCGGGAAACAGCTCTGCTTCTTGGCAAAATTTCTAAGCCACCAGGGTGCCAAGACCGACATAACAGTAAAGGGCGCTGGCTGCGTGCAGAGCTGGCACTCGGGTCCCGGCAGCCCCACGGGGGTCCCGGGCGACGCCTGCTGAAGACGGAGGCCGAGCGGCTCGCCTGGTCAGGACGTGCCCGGCGGGGCTTGGACCCAGGGCCCTGCCCCCGGGTCTGGTGGGCTCTTCCCAGAGCCGGGCTCGGCCCAGGCAGAGGCAAAGGCGAGACCGCCAGGGCGAGCACACCCCCGGCCGTGGGTGGCCCGGGGAGGGGCCTGCACAGGCAGGTTCCAGTTTCCAGGGTGTTTTTCTGGGTTTGCCTGCGTCTGGTTACGTCCCCTGTGAGCATTCGGGCCGCTGGCCCCTGGGCAAAGTCAGACGGCCGCCCGGAAGCCCCTCCTCCAGGTTAGCTGGGGTCGTTTGCACGCCCCACCGCAAAGAGCCCTCACACCCGTGCTTTGATCTTACAGTTGCAGTTTTTAAGGCCCGCCCATCTCCCCAGCTTCCCTACGCCTCTTTTCCTGCGAGGTTTCCTGGCGCAAAACTGGATCCCCCAGCACAGAGCCCGGGCGTTTCCAGGGACATTCTCAGGAAAAGCTGCCATATGATGAAGTAACGCTCGTGTCTCCTGGGCATCCTTGGGCCCGGAGTTTACTTTGACATCACGCGGGCCTGTTTCAGGAAGAAGAAAGAGCTTCTGTAAGATAGGAAGACAATAGGTACCGAGGAAGAAGGGGGTTTCGCAAAAGCCTGTGATGTTAAGCGCAGGGCCCTGACCTTGCCCTGCAAACCTGGGAGGGAGGTGGCTTGTTTTTCCGTCGCATGTGGGCTCTATCCCGCTGCCCTCGCAGGACCCTCGCCGCGTCCAGACCGAGAGGCCGGAGTGCGGGTCTCAGGAGCCCCGAACGCTGTGGCGGGACCCGGGCAGGTCCTGGTGGGAAGGGGGTCTGAGGTGCTTTGTGAGGACAAAGGAGAGGGTCTGTCGGGTTCAAGGGAGGACTTTGAAGGTTCAGGCTTAATCTTGAACGTGAACCAGCTCAGAGGTAGGAGCAGGAAGAGAGGACTCTGGGGAGGAAACTTCAAGGGAGAAGGTGCATGGAAGGGCCCCGAGCTTTCAGAGCATGCCGGGGGAGGGCGGGGCTGGGATTACATCCCCACACAGGTGGGGTCAGAGCAGCACGGGCCCCTCGCCCACACTGACGGTGGTGCTTGCACCTGGAAATAAACCCGATGAAAGAGTGATTTTCTTCCTGGCCGCACCCTCCCCATCCCTCACCCCTGCAGCGGTAACCAGTGACCCTGACGGCTCAGCCTGCGGGGGCCCTGCTTCTCTGTTTCTCACACGCAGGCAGGCTCACCCTGCAGCCGCACAATCATAAGGCCCGGCTTGTGTGCATCCGACTTCAAATCCCAGACCCTTTCTCGTCCGCACGCCGTTTGGGGGCCCGCGCTCTGGGCGCCCCTGCTCGGTCCCCAGACGGGCTTCAGGCTGCACTTCCACTCATCGCCACCGGAGGCACTGCATCGGCCACGGGTGCCACGAGGGGGTGTGACCTGTGGCCTGCCTGAGTCAGCCAGCGCGTGGGGCACCGACGCCTCACGCTTGGGCTGCAACTGCCTCCGTGGCCACGCCGCACGGGAGCTGTGCCGGCTGCCTCTAGGAGTCAAGATTCTGCCTGGACGCCAGCTGTGGCTGTCACTTCCCGGCCGAGCGTCACTGAGCGGCTTTCCTCCTCCACCCCGTCCCCCGCTCCTCGGCCGCTCCCAATGAGAACACACAGAAAGTGCTTAGTGGTGAACCCGCTCCGGGCACAAAGGGGCGAATGTTGGCTGTTGACTGTCGTTGACGTAACGGGAATGCGGTCCCTGTCCCCCAGGAGCCGCGGCCAGGAGGAAGCCTGCGGTTAAAAAGGAAAATGCAATGCGGTCTGATGAGTCAGCTGAAGACCGGAAAGAGGAGCAGAGGCCCGGAGGCCGGGTGGGCCAGGAGGGGCGGGCTAGGCACAGGGCACTTGCCCAGGCCTGCCCCCCGCCCCCATCACAGCCGGGGAGGCGGCAGCGGTCGGGCCGGGTGACCGGAGTGTCCTCTCCAGCCTCACTGCACACCTGCTGTGGGGCGTGCCCCCCGAGGCCGTAAAAGGCCTAGATGCCATTGCAACGTTGGGGGCTTTCGTCCCGTTGGGGGCCGTGAGGGCTGCAGGGACCCTCTCCGACCGACACGTCTTCTCTTGCTCGTGTTGCTGAGACATCGAAGAACAAGGAAGGAGAAAGGGGAAAACAAAACACAAGGTGGGCAAGGGTCGTGGGTCTGGGCACGCGCTGGGCACGACGGGAGCCGGGGACCTCGGGAGTCAGAGTGCGCTCTGGAGAGCGGGGGCTCTGCTCTTGCCTCCTGCTCCGCACTTGTCTGTGGCTCCCGCCGGACACCAGGCCCAGTCTTGCTCCTTCCCTGCTTGCTGCCAGCCGCGGGCCGAGTCCTGCCGGAACACAGTGGACGTCAAGGACCGGCGTCCTGGGGACCCGCTCATGCCGGTGACCTTGCTGGCTCGTTACCGTTCTTTCCGACGGCAGAGGTACCCTCACGTGACCGTGACATCTGAAGCAGGGCTACAGAATAAGTAGATCAGATGTCTTTAGACCCATTTTACAGATTGGGAAAGCGAGATTGAAAGACACATAGTCTCGCGTGTTCTTCCCCCTGAGAAAACGACACAGCCAGCACTCGGCTGATGCTTGACTTGAATTCCGTGGTTTCCCATGATTCCCCACTTAAAATAATTCTGCAAAGCATCATGTGCTACTTGGCGTTTCGTCGTATTAAACGCAGATCTGGCCGCTATCGTGGGGTAGACGCGTGTCAACTAGAGATCTATCGGAAGCTCCCATTATTGAGAAATAATGAGACATTTCCATCAAGCTGTATTTGAGGCTGCCCTCTACTTGTAGGAGAAAGACACACATCATGTGATCACGGACGTATCTTGAGTCCCCCACATCAGTCCGGTCCAGTGTCAGCTTCTGGGGTTAGGCGAACCCCGTTCTGCACTTCAGTGGCGGCCCCGGAGCAGGGACGGTCAAAACACAGGAGCAAATCCACGCAGGACGCGCTGTCAGTAGATGCGCAGCTCCGTTGGCCCACAGCGATCGGTGTGCCGGAAAGAGACGGTTTTTAAGCAAAAATGTGCAAAGTGATGATTCCACCGTGCCTTTAGTTCCTGTAAAATGGGCCCATCTGGGCTCATTCAGACTTCAACATGAGCAAAGGTTGTCTGGAAAGTGTTTCCTTTCCCACAATGTCAGAAAATAAGACAGAGCTTGGGATAACATGGGCCCACATGTAAACCCTTGAGCTTTGGTTATTTAAAAATAACGACCCTTAAATACACATTTGTTTATGTCTGTTTTTTGGGGAGATTGTGCTGGACACTCAGACGCGGGGGCGGGGGGAACAGGTCTAACATGGGCCTGTCGTCAGGGCAGTTAAACCCTGGGGGACAAAGGATGGTTTTACATAATAACAGCAACGACAGGATGTGATAGCAGGTGGCGATGTTATGATGCAGGATTCTGCAGGTGCTCCAAGGAAGCCCTCTGGGGCGGGACAGGCTCAGGGAAGGTGTGCTCAAGCAGCACGTTGGAAGATGCAGGGGCCAGTGCTAAGCAGTGGAGGCAGAGTGAGCAAGTGCGGAGTCTGCTGGTGCAGGCATGCGTGTGTGCATGTGTGTATGCATGTGTGTGCACGAGTGTGTCCACTTGTGTGCCCACGTGCAAATGTATGCAGATGTGTGCACAACTATGTACACGTGTACAGCGATGCACATGTGTGCACACACGTGTGTACGAACCGCGTACATGTGGGCACACGTGTGTGCAAACGTGCGTGCATGTGTGCAGGTGCATGCATGTGTACATCCATACACATGTGCCACACGTGTTGATGTGTGTAAAACATGCAAGTGTGTGCACGTACACATGCATTGTGCGTGCAAATGTGTGTGCAAACGTGTGTGGCTGCACACCTGCACATGTGTGCAAACGCGTGCGTGTGTGCATCTGTGTGCAAATGTACGCATGTGCGACTATGCACATGCACGTGTGTGCCCACGTGTGCATGTGCACCTGAATCGTGTACGCGCGTGTGTGCAGATGTGCATGTGCGAGGGTGCACACGCGTGTGAGAGGCGATGGGGAAGGGTCTTTTGCCGCTCTCAGGGCTTGGCTGGAGTCAAACTCCTAGAGACACAGTAGAGTCTCCACAATCTGTGCCCCGCGGGGGCAGAGAGCGCGGGTGGGGGTGTGTTTATTTGTGCCTGTAGAGGGAGAGCGGGCGGAGCTGGGGAGCTGGGAGGAGAAACTGGGTCACGGAGGTTGGGCCAGGGCACCCCGTATTAAAGCGCGAGCACGGGCTTTATTCCGCTCTCGGCGGGGAGCTGCTGGGAGGTTCTGAGCAATGAAGCAAACAGAACATAATTATGTTCTAAAGCCTGCCAGCCTCCTATAGCGATGCTTCCGTGGTTTCTCTCGAGGTCAGAGTCTGTGTCTCCTGTCCCTTCTGACCGAGGACAGGCCTTGTCCCCACCCGGGGCCTGCTGCCACCGGCACTGCTGCAGCCAACGCTCCTCTCCCTGTGGGTCCCCCATCTCCAGTTCTGCCCAGTTGGAGCCCTGATTAATGAGAGCCGCTAATTAGAGCGCTGTATTCCCAGTGTTCTGGACGTGGCTGGAAGCCAAGCTTGGAGGAGTCAGATTCACTGTCAGAACTGACGGGGAGAACCGGGGCCGCCCCGAGGGAGGACCACAGGCCCACGCCTGCCGTCATCTGCCCCTTCCCGCCCGCCAGCCGCCTGCACACCCGCTGTGCCCGGGGCCTGACGTTTCCTGTCCGCCCTCCCTGGCCTCTCCTTCCTGCATCCTTGCCGTGGTGCGAGGGCCAAGGCTCTCTGCGCATGGACAGTGACGTGGGGGCAGGGCGGCTGCAGAAAGACACAGGCTGTCATGGCCCCTGGTGACCCTGGTCCTCGGGAGCTCACCGTGGACTGTGGTTCTCAGCCTCGGCTGCTTGTTAGAGCCATCCAGAAAGCTCCCAGATCCCCATTATCCAGGCCGCACTGAGAGCAGGTGAATTGGGGTCTCTGGGTGGGAAGCCAGGGCCCAGAATGGTGACCACAGCGCACGGGCAAAGCTGGGCTGCTGCCTGAGACAGGGGTCTGTGCCCATCCCCGCACACGTGTGTGGGAACGAGGCGGCCCCAGGGACCACCGGCGTCGGCCTGACTTATCACCCCCAGAGCCACCTGCCCATTTGCTGACATTTTAAGGGGCTCAGGCTTTCACCCTAACACCCTTCCTGGACACAGGAAATTCCCACCAGCACAAGAATTTTCTTCATTCCTTCACTCGTTGGTTCATTCATTCCACAAACATCCGTTTAGCACAGGCCTCCCGTCCCGTGCTGTGAGAGTTCAAACAACCAAAATGCTGGAGACATGTCCCCACAGACACACGGGGAGGGGACAGATGCATGGGCCTGTAACTCCGGCCCAGGGGGCTGTGCTGTGAAAGAGGACGTGAGGCCCAGGGCGGGGTGTGCGGCAAGGGAAGCAGTTACCGGGGACGGGAGGCCCGGCTGCTGCTTTGGAGCCAGACCTCCCACCCTGCCCGACAGAAGCAGGACCTGGCCATGCAGGCTGGCCGTGCAGGAGCATGTGGGCCGGGACCCAGGTGTGGACGGGAGCAGGGCCAGAGTCGGGCTGAGGACGTGGGGGCCAGGGCCTGGGTGTGGACGGGAGCACGGCCAGAGCCGGGCTGAGGGACGTATGGGCTGTGCCCACAGAGTGCAGGCAAGTCTCACATCCCTGCGGAGGACGGTGTGACGCAGAGGTCGGGCACGCAGGACCCGTGCTGGGGTGGGGGAGGGCCTGGCTGCCAGCCGCTCACCCAGGAGGAGGAGCCCCACAGGCCAGGAGTGGTGTCCTGTGGGGGGAAACCGAGGCTCAGAAGAGCTCCTGACTTGTCTCGTCACAGCTGCGGCTGAGCCAGGGATCAGGGAATAGCCCAAGAAGAGGCACCCCCGATGCCAGGCGGACAGAAACCCCCCATCCAGAAGGACCTCTGACCCGGGAACCAAAAGAAAGGTCATCTCAGCTACCTGCTGAGGCTCCCTGGGCTGGGACACAGCAGACCCTCCCAGCCCTGTCCCGGCTGAGCCCCCAGAGTCTGATGAGGGGAGTCGGCCATCTGGAGCCTTCGCTGCTTGACCTGTAAAACAGAAAGATGGAAACAAACAAATGTAGCTCCTCGGGTTATGTTAAAGGCTGAGTGAAAAGGGTTAAGCCCAGACTGGCACACCGTAGGCACTCAATGCGTGCTGACTCATGGAGAGATACATTAGGCCGGCAGATCACCAGCGCTGCTGAGGAGCAGAAGGTTCTTGACGGCATCCCGTGTGTGGATGCTCTCGGGAGCCATTCTCCAGCCTTCTCAGGGTCTCAGCCCCGTGGGTGGGACTCAGTTCCAGGGCCACGTGCCTCCCCTGCTGGGAGAGGGGCTGGCGAGGCCCGGAGGACCGACCCTAGAACCCGGGCCCGAGGCCCACTTGGACACCACCCCCTGGACATGAACACCTGTCCCTCAGGAGCCCGGCCCGCGGCCAGGGTGGCCGTGAGCCGCACGCGCTCCAAGGGGGACTGAGGAAGGAGGGTGTCGCTGGGGTGCTTGTCACTGTCGGATGACACTCCTTTCCTGCAGCCTCTGGGCCGAGGCCATGGGTCCATGCAGCCCCGTTCTACCCCTCACCTTGGGGTCCTCCCTTCCTCCGTGCAGGTCACAGGGCGGGCACTTGATCTTGGGGCCCTCCCTTCCTCCATGCAGGTCACAGGGCGGGCACTTGACCTTGGGGCCCTCCCTTCCTCCGTGCAGGTCACAATGGGAGTCGCCTGACCTTTGACTGCACAATCACCACCAGTCACAACTAACAATTTCCTCAAGTCTGATCATTTTAACTGAGGGGGAAGGCTGGACCCAGCGGCAGACCCGAAACCACCAGTGGGACACCCCAGAGAGTGCCTGTAGTCTTGTCTGACGGGGGTTCTCTTTGCATAAAACAGACTCCCACAAACTCCCACCGGGGCCTTGTCTCAGGACCGGGATGTGCTGGCGAATCCTTTCCTGGGACTGAAAACTTGCTACAAGGCGGGGGCCTGGGGCTCCTAGGCTCCAGCCCCTTTTGTCGGTGTGGGGGCTGAGGCTCAGACGGGGGCGGCGTTGGCCCACAGCCGACAGAGCCCCAGGCCCGGCCCCTGCAGGACGAGTGTCGGCGGCCCCTGCGGGGGCCGGTGGGTCTGATAAATGAGCCGCGCCGCGGGGAGAAATGGGTTCATGTATCATGTCACCGGCTATCGGCATTCCCATTGTGGGGACAAAGACGGAGGAAGTCGCAGGGGCCCCTCTGGCTTCGACTGTCGGAGGGACCTGCCCACGTCCTGCCCGCTCCCCCTTCCCGGAAACCCCCCTCAGCCGCAGGATCCAGGGCCTGTGGTCTGTGCGAGCACTTCCCCAGGAGGCTCCGGGAGGGCCCTCCAGGAGGCTCACCACGTGAGTCACTAAGATGGGAGTTAGTGCCCCAGGGGCCCACGCCAGGGGGGCACAGGGTTCTGTCCGCAAGGACGTTCAGGGCAGGCGTTGGGGGCATGGGGCCCGGGCAGGGGTGCTCAGGGGAGCGGCCGCCGGCCCCACGCTGCTAGGCTCAGAGCAAACCTGACCTCTCATACCACTGGCAGGGGGAGCCTGGCCACCGCCCCATGGAGGCCGAAGGGCCCTCCACCCACCACATCGGCCCCTGCCACTGGGGGCTCTCGGAGGGGCTGCGTGTGGCCTGGCCCGGGGATGCCGATCCCCTCGTGGTCCGGACAGCCCTTCCAGGTCTCGCCCGCACCACAAACACTCCACAGCTACCATCCCCTGGACCCTGCACGTGGACAGAGCCCCCCTGGACCCAGGGGGGACAGAGCCCTTCCCGTCCTGCCTCCCGGCTCAGCTTTGCTTCGCCAAAGTCCCCCGGCCTCTACCGCCTTCCGGGTGGATACTTGGGTCCAGCGCTTGAGGCCGGCCGCCTCCAGCCGGGAACCCCAGCTCCAGCTCTCAAGTAGCCGGTTAACCACCCGTGGCGACGGTAACCTTTCCACGGCGGCGCTCCGTAATTATATTTAGAGTGCCTACTCTCCGTCAGGCAGTACGCTGGCGGCTGAGATGCAGGGTGACGAAGGCACAATTGGTGCCTTCAGAGGCCGGGTGACGGACACGCGTGTGACAAGCACGTGGAGGGCGCTGCCGGTAGCCCTGCCCGGAGGTGCTGAGGAGCCACAGAGGGGTTCCGGTCCCGGACGAGAGT